CCGTTTTATTATGCACTTCTATAACCTAAGAATAGCTCAGCCAGGTTCTAGCCCGGTTTCAAGACCCTGTAGTTACTGAATACACTGCACAAATGGTCTCTTTTCAAGTGAAATAATCTTAACTCTAGTCAGTATATCTAATATTTCCCATTTTGAGATGGCTGTGCACTTATTATAGGATTATTTTGCTTAATTCTGGATATTATTTACTTGTTTTAGGTGATTTTATCAAGGAAAATGATCTCACTATACTGGCAGATACATTTGCTGGTTTTAAAACAAGTAAAAATTGTCTAGAAATAAGGCGAATAATCTTAAATTAAGCTTACAACAATCTCAACAGGAGAAATATTAGATTTAGTGAATATATTGAAGATACTTTTACTTGACAAGACACCATTTCTTGCAGTGTCTAAGCCTTAGTATGTGATAAGCCTGGGATTTTAAGGGGTTGAAAGGGAAGAACGTCCGTCCACTGTCTACTTCAAGTAATTCAAGATCAGTTTTTGTGTCAAAAGCAAACATATGTTGGCACTAAATATAATCTTCCTCTAGAGATATCCCACCAGGCTTTAGGCCAGGAGAACGCTAACTGATTTACTGTGTTGTAGTCAGATGTCATTGCGCCTTGATAAATAAAGCTCCTTTTTGTTTTCCTGTTAGATGTTCATAAAGGTAAGCAGTTTTCAAGCTTTATATAAAGTGTCTCTTGTCACAATAAAGCCAACATTGACTTTTCAAATTTAATTTGCTGTCATAATTCCAGTGACCAATCATTCCCTTTACCAGTACGGTTCTAGTGAGTATCGTAAAATTACCACAGAACACTGTACAACACACACAGTGGCCCTGAAAGTGTTTGAATTATAATGGGACCGGTCCGAGACTGTCATTCTCTATTTGGTGACGGATTCTCTCAGAAGCTGCAGGTGAGTTTCAGATCGTTATGTCGTTGCAGGCGCCTGCAGATTTGCATCCAAAATGGCTCTAAAGACTTCATAAGTTCATGATCTCATCAATGAACACAAGCTCAGCAACAAATCTGTAAGAACAGCTCCAGACTTTCCATATCTGTGCCTTACAGAAGCGTCAGTGCCGTCTGGTGGGAGTTCTTCTCTCCAGGCTTTCTCCTCATAAGGGGTCAGTCTGATGTGCTAGAAGTGTTTTTCCATCATTTTACTGATCATTTCATGAGGTGACTTTGGGGCTCTAGAAGAAGGAAAAATAATTCGTCAAAAAAGAAAAGAAAACATCATAGATAAATAAGTGATAAATGACAGTAGTAAATAGGAGTAATTAAAGTGCACAGTACGTATTTCTCTTGATAATGATCATTTTGTCATTACAGTAATATTTCACTCTCTCTCCTGATTTATTGCTTCATTTTTTTTCAATCACCTGATTTCCCAAAAGAGCTTATCAAAAATAGAGATTCTAGATGCTGCTAACAGTCTCTCTGTAACTGACCTGCTCTCTATATTCTGTCTAACTGGAATGTATTCTGTCCTCATTAGAGCAGAATGAGCAGCTCAGCTGATAACAGGCTCACAGGCTAACAAATAAACTGACCAACAGACAAACAGGAAAACAGGCTAACAGATAAACAGACTAACGAACTCCACCGATTAGATTCACAGAGAGGCATTAAGTTTAAAACTAAACTGTCAGCAAAAATGGCTCCAAAAAGGGTTCTATGACTTGAAACAATAGCAGAACCCTTTTGTGCTCTAGAACCATAAAAGGTTCATTAAAGAACCATATACAACAGGTTTTCCCTCATTGTGAAAAAACATTGAAGCAGAACTGCCTGATGATGGAAACACTGAAGAAAACGTAGCAGAACCGCCTGATGATGGGAACACTGAAGAACACGGAGCAGAACCGCCTGATGATGGGAACACTGAAGAACACGGAGCAGAACCGCCTGATGATGGGAACACTGAAGAGCACGGAGCAGAACCACCTGATGATGGGAACACTGAAGAACTCGTAGCAGAACCACCTGATGTTGGGAACACTGAAGAACACGTAGCAGAACCGCCTCATGATGGGAACACTAAAGAACACGGAGCAGAACCGTCTGATGATGGGAACATTGAAGTACACGGAGCAGAACTGCCTGATGGTGGGAACATTGAAGTACACGAAGCAGAACCGCCTGATGGTGGGAACACTGAAGTACCTGTAGCAGAACCGCCTGATGGTGGGGACACTGAAGAACCCGTAGCAGCACCACCTGATGGTGGGAACACTGAAGAACCCGTAGCAGAACCGCCTACTGATGGGAACACTGAAGAACACGTGCAGAACCGCCTGCTGATGGGAACATGAAGAACATGGAGCAGAACTACCTGATGATGGGAACATTGAAGAACATGGAGCAGAACCGATGACGGTGGGAACACTGAAGAACCCGTAGCAGAACTGCCTGATGGTGGGAACACTGAAGAACATGGAGCAGAACCGATGACGGTGGGAACACTGAAGAACCCGTAGCAGAACTGACTGATGGTGGGAACACTGAAGAACCCGTAGCAGAACTGCCTGATGGTGGGAACACTGAAGAACACGTGCAGAACCGCCTGCTGATGGGAACATGAAGAACATGGAGCAGAACCGCCTGATGATGGGAACATTGAAGAACATGGAGCAGAACCGATGACGGTGAGAACACTGAAGAATCCGTAGCAGAACCGCCTGATGGGGAACACTGAAGAACCCAGAGCAGAACCGCCTGATGGGGAACACTGAAGAACCCGGAGCAGAACCGCCTGATGGGGAACGCTGGTGTGAACTGTCCTCGTGTGGATTAATGAGGTTTTTATTCATTAACGGTGTTTATTCTGTGTAAATGAACAGTTCGAGACTCCGCGCGCCCTCCACTCTATAAACATGCACTCTTCACTGATTCAGACTGAGTGCAGACTCTGATTGGTGGATGTGAGTGATTAGATTATTGTGATTGGTTCTGTCTGCTTTGTGATGCGCGAGTGGGAGAGAGACAGAGAGAGAGAGAGAGAGAGAGAGAGACAGAGGTGGTCTTAGACTGGGGTCCTTCATCTACACACAGCTTCTGTTAATATTATTATTAGTAGTATTAATTAACAAATGAGAACCTCTCAGCGCGCAACACGAAACATTTTCACATAAATAATAATAATAATAATAATAATAATAATAATAATAGTACTTTGTAATATTTGTAATGATATTCACATAATAATTACATTGATGGTTTTATTTTCACCTCATTATTATTATTATTATTGTTGTTGTTGTTGTTGTTGTTGTTGTTTTTATTCTTATTATTGAGGATATAATGATAAGAATAATTTTATTATTTAAATTATATCAACACTGGCTCTGATCATCTTAATCAAACGCTAGACACACCTAAATAAATAAAGACCCTTAAGAAATAAAAAACCAAAGACCCCTGTTTACCCCTAACCCCACCCCAGGTTCTGATACCCCCAGTCACCTTTAATACCCCCTTTATACAGCACCGAGCAGAAGAGCTCAGCACGAGGTTCAGCGCGGGTTTATGTAATGTGTATGATATATTATATATTCTATATGAGTGAATCCCGCTGCATTAAGGCAGCTTGTATAATCTCCACACACCAATAGCATGGGACGCTCTGGAGCACCCGCACGTGAGCCTCAGGTCGCCATGCCCAATGCCAAGCGTGGGCTAGAGGGATATAAAGCCCCCCAGCATTGGGCTGTGGAGCAGTGGAACTGTGTTCTCTGGAGTGATGGAGCTCCATCCAATACCTTTGGGATGAGTTGGAGTGACCCAGAACTGACCACCCAACATCACTACCTGACCTCACTAATGCTCAATCAAATCCTCACAGCGATGTTCAACATCTAGTTTAAAGCTTTCTTAGAGGCTGTGGAGCTCCCTATTAGTGCCTTTCATTTCAGAAGAAACGCTGGAGGAGCAGGTGTCCACAAACTGCTGGACATTCAGTGCAGCTCATCTGTGGAGTGGACACTGCGGTGGACTTTACCTGCACGGTTATCAACGCGGCACATCTAATGGATTATATACATATATACATATAAATAATACATATATACATATAAATAACACATAACGTATGAAATATTATAATAGCTCTAAAGAGTTACTGATCCCATATATATATATATATATATATATATATATATATATATATATATATATATATATATAGGATACACAGACATATGTAAAATTCATATTTTACATGTACATGCATTTTATACACATGCAAATGTGTGTATAGATATATATATATATACACACACACACACACACACACACAATTCAATAAGACAAACGTCTGACGGTATTTGGAAGAATTATTATACTTATGCATATTTTAATTATTTTGCCGTGCCTAAAATAATTGATAAAAAATATATACATATTTATTATTGCAGCCTAATAATAATAATAATAATAAGTCATTGCTCAAGATCGACAAATTAATACAATTGCTTTTAAAAATGAATACAGACGATTAAAATAAGATAATAAATAATGAATAAATACATGAATACAGAAGATTTTAATAACAAACAATAACAATACTACTACTAGTAGTAAAATAATAATAATAACAATAATAATAATAATAATAATAAGAAGAAGAAGAAGAAGAAGAAGAAGACGAAGAATATTATTATTATAGGAATATGAATTCTCAATATGAGCTTTAATAATAAGAGTAGTGTGTTTATTCTTTATTAATCGGAGGTGTGTGTGACTGTCACGCGCTCTTCCTGTTCACATAACTAAAAGTGTGCATTTGCCGTGTTTTAGCCGCGCGCGCGCGTTGCAGCGAGCTCTGCGCTCTAGATCGAGTGTGTCTGTGTGTGTGTGTCCAACGCCGTTGCGCCGCCTGCACGTGGTGGGCGTGGAGCGCAGTGCGCATGCGCAGTGGAGGGGTTTATTGGGGTAAGTGCGAGCGCAGCTGAGCGCAGCGTTCAGTCTGCAGGAGCTATGGTGCACGCACACACCCTCTCTCTCACACACTCTCACACACTCACGCGCAAGCACTCCACTTTCTCTGAGCACGGATTCGAGCCATGAGCGCGTGAGAGTCAGAAGGAGTTTTGTTTTGTTTTTGTTTTTTTTTGTTGTTGTTGTTGTTGCCCGACGTTCATCAGGACAGGAGCAGCGGTGGGGGTCAGTCCAGGACACAGCGCCCCGTCCCATGGTGCCGAGCGCCTGAGCCCGGGAGGGGTGGAGCTCGAGTCCGGCCTCACCATGTCCAAGGGGGCCGAGCACGTGAAGCGGCCCATGAACGCCTTCATGGTGTGGTCTCGGGCGCAGCGGAGGAAGATGGCCCAGGAGAACCCCAAGATGCACAACTCAGAAATCAGCAAGCGCCTGGGTGCGGAGTGGAAGCTGCTGACCGAGGCCGAGAAGCGGCCCTTCATTGACGAAGCCAAGCGCCTGCGGGCACTGCACATGAAGGAGCACCCCGACTACAAGTACCGGCCGCGCCGCAAGCCCAAGACGCTGCTGAAGAAGGAGGGTAAGTTCGCCTTCCCCGTGCCCTATGGCATGGGCGAGCATGAGACTGCCCTGAAGGTGGGCGCAGGGATCGGCGCCTTCCCGGGCTCCGCACTGCCCGAGCCGCTCCTGAGCGCGCCGGATAAAGCTGCGGCGGCGGCTGCGGCAGCGGCTGCCCGGGTGTTCCTGAACCCCTCTGTCCCGGCGCACCCCTACTCCTTCCTGGAGCTGGGCTCTAAAATGCCAGAACTGTCGGCGCCCTCATTGCCCTACGCCTCGCCACCGCTGGGCTACCCCGGCTTCTCTGGGGCGGGCACGCACACGCACTCTCACCCATCACCGGGCAACCCGGGCTACATGATACCATGCAGCTGTGCAGCATGGCCCTCTGCCGGACTCCAGCCGCCGCTCGCCTACATCCTGCTGCCCGGCATGGGCAAACCGCCGCTGGAGCCGTACCCCGCCTACGCTGCTGCACTCTGACCTCTGACCCCAGGCCAGGAGACGGAGCATGGACACGGACGAGGCAATGCATGGAACACACACACACACACATGTGTGTGTGACAGACAGCCACTGAACACCCTTAGTGTGTAACGTAAAGCCCGCCCGGACGTCTCTGCGTCGACGGAACCGGACTGCACTGTTTTGTAAATGTGTACAGCTGAGTCCCATCAGGGAGCAGGTTTGGACTTTACAATCACTGTTTCATAGATGTGTGTAATATTTATTGTTCGTTGGAGACGATATTATTATTATTATTATTACTATTATTATTATTGCTACTACTATTATTATTATTGCTATTATCACTATTACTATTCCTGGTTTCGGGCCAGCGGAGGATGGACTGTTCGGAGGAAGATCATGGACTGTTCTTGAGTGTGATCTCACACACACACACACACACACACACACACACACACACACACACAGATGTGAAAGTGTGTGAATGCAGGTGTACTCACACTCCTCTTCATCGTCCTCCTTCTCCTCCTCAGCGGTGATGAACTCTTTTCTAACTGACTCTTAGACTGTGTGTGTGTGTGTGTTGTTCTCTCTGCAGCGGCTCTAATAAAGCGTGTGAACACACACTCTCAGTCGCTGTGTGTGGTTGTTGCTGACCGCTGGAGCGGGTCCGGCCCCCGGGGGCCCGAGCTGGACGCGTCCTGAGGATCTTTTGTTGAGGTTTGAAAGCTAAAGCGAGTCGCTGTAGCAGAGAGGCCGATTATCAGCGCTCAGATCGGCGGAACCTGAAACCCACCGGCTCTCAGAAACAGGGTCCACTTTGAGGGGGAGGGAGCCGGACGGCGGCTTTAACGGCGAGGCTGCGACTGACCACTGCTCTGTTTCACTGAGTGCTGGTTCAGCAGAGTGCAGGTGTGTGTGTGAAAGAATCTGTGCTTGATTTCTGTTTCTGCTGACTGCCATCCTGTGAGTGTCCTGCACTGTCCAGTCTTGGCCTACATTAAGAAGTTTGCATGCTTCGGTGTGGGCCTCGGACATTCTGACCACTCAGCTGTATGTAGGCTCAGATACGGTGTCCTGTCGAACTCTGACAGCAGCTCCTCTTTCTCTGAAAATTCACAAATTCCTGTTTTCTCCTGAGCTGTTAATTTAAAGGGGAATTCCACCATTTTTTCAACATTTCTGCATGATCAAGTTGTTAAGATGTAATCAGAGCGGTTCAGAGCGGTTCAGAGTGATTTAGAGCGGTTTGGTGTGAAACGTTCCGTTCTAGATAAACTTACAGAGTCAGAACTGTTCACAGTGGTGGTGATAGGAACCAGACGTCCACCTCTGAAAGCTCCCTCACAGAAAGTTCCTACATGAACTGGTTATGAATTCACTGCCTGATGACTGAGACACTGTTTTATGATAGTTTAGAGGACTTAAACTCCATTCATGGTGGAGGGATACATGCAGGGCACTGTGAGGCAAAATAGTCCCCAAAGAAAACTTATTATTTCAGATTTTCCACTATTTTCCATCATCAACATTCCATATAAACTCAGAAGACTCGTGTAGGTTCACTGGTGGTTCTGGATAGTAAATAAAATGTCTATATTTGTGTTGTAGTCATGGTGACCCCTGGTTCCTATCACCACCACTGTAAAGACATCTGAACCATTTCAGACCAAACCTCTCTGAATCTCTCTGATTACACCTCACACACTGAATTATGGGGGGAATTTTGAAAGTCAGTGGAATTCCCCTTTAATTCCCAGAGTGTAACGCTGACCACACTGACTCTCTCTCTCAGTGTGTGAATAGGTGACTGTTGTTGACTGTGTCTGATCTGTATCTGTGTGGTTCCACCTGCTGGTCTGCTCTGTCAGTGAGACCACAAGCTACAGCCCTGCTGAGAAAAACCACAGACACCAGTAAAGGTTCCTGTGGGTTCTGTGTTGGTCCTGATGGGTTGATATCACAGTGTAAAAGGTCCTAATGGTTTAACAGGTGACCAGTGGCTGATTCTAAATGCATGAAGTTTTCCCATTAGAAAGTCCTGAATGATTCCAATGTTCTGCTTTCAGACCTGATCAGTGGCAGCAGAGAGGAGAGCAAGACTTAGTAAACTTTTTGGACTCTCTCTCTCTCTCTCTCTCTCTCTCTCTAGGGGCCTTTCCTCTCCCAGGCTCCTTTCTGAACTGGGGCTGTTGGGGGGCTCTTGGAAGAACTCTCTCTCTCTCTCTCTCTCTCTCTCTCTCTCTCTCAGTGTTTGGTGGTGGAGGAGGTTTTGTTGGAGGATAAAGCCGCTCGAGCTCTTTGTGCTGCTCTTGTTTGTTGGAGTGGAGCTGAACCGGAGCGCCGTCTCGCGCTTTTGTGTCTCAGCAATCAGCGGCTTTTGGAGAACTGTTAGCGCAGCTATTCACCTCTCTCTCTCTCTCTCTCTCTCTCTCTCTCTCTCTTTCTCTCTCTCTCTCTCTCTCTCTCTCTCTTTTCCTGGGCTGATCCAGCTGGCCGCTCTGAATGGCCGGCCGGTGTGTGTGTGTGCGCGCGCGCTTTGTGCGCTGCGCAACAGCGCAATAAAAAATACATGAGCGCGTAAATAAAGAGCGGGCGGTGAGAGAAAGTGGATAAACCCCCGCCGACAAAACGGCCGCGAGAGCGAACAAAACAGATATTTAACACGCGGATTAGCATCAGAAAGACTCGGACAGAGCCGGACAGAGCCGGACAATGGCTGAATGGAGTCTCCGGGCCAGAAAGGAACGGACTAAATGGCTTTTGAATAGATATGTTTTTTTTTTTCCTTCTTTTTTCTCTTTTCCTTCAGAGAGAGAGAGAGAGAGACAGAGAGAGAGAGAGAGAGAGATGGTGGCCGCGCGGCTATCCAAACACACTCAATGGTCAGAAAGAAAAGCTGCGTCCGGTCCAAACTGTCCACCTCTGTCCACTCCACTTCACTCCACCATTAGAGCCACTGGGATTAGAACTCTAATGGTTTTGCTTCCTAATGGGAATTGGCTTCCAATAGAGACCACTATTTTCACCTTTAGATCCCATTAGGAAACCATCAAACGCATTTAGAATCAGCCCCTGGTCGCCTGTTAAACCATTAGGGTCATTTACACTGTGATATCAACCCATTAAAAAAAAAAGACAAAATACATTACAAAACCATCAGGAACCAAAAGACGCTCTTAATGGTTTCTACGGGTTTTTCAGCAGAGTGACGCTCTTTTGACTTACACATGGTGAGCGCGAGCGTTAAAGATCAAATTCGCCTTAATCAGTGCTGGGGGTCAAAGGGCAAACTAGGCGGTCAGCGGGTCATCTGTACACTCCCTCTCTCTCTCTCTCTCTCTCTCTCTCTCTCTCTCTCTCTCTCTCTCTAACGAAATCAGAGCGATATAATAAACAACGCAGTAAACAAACAAACAAACACGACTCCAGCTGCAGTAATGCGGAGTTTATTTTAAAAAGTGCTAAATGCATTAAAAGTGCACTCTCTGCGCTGTTAATGCGTTTTTAGGCGCAGTTTGATTTTTCTGTAGCTGCTGGACGTCGCGCGCGCTGTGACCTGCAGACTGACCTCGCGCTCCGGTTGTGTCGGCTCATGTTTGATGTTTTCACACCTCTGCACACACACACGCGCGCGCGCGCACATTAGCGGCTGTATGAAGGTTTTTGGAGTTTTTGGTTCAGCGCTGATCCACCTTAACGCGCGCGGATAAATAAATCCTGTGTGGCCCGCGCGCTGCTCTCCAGCTCCTTTTTCTCAGCTCTTCTCCACCGGACAGATAAGAGTCCGTCACACACCGCCTGCCCGGATCTGTCCGTCCCCCCTCACCCTCAGACCTGCGCGCGCGGAGAGAGGGAGAGAGGGAGAGAGAGACTCTAACGGTCAGGAAAAACGGACACTCCACATTTCTAAACGCGCGCTCACAGATCTCCGCTCCACCAGTCACATCATTCATTTCAGCGCTGTTACATCATCAATATGCAAAATAATCCGTGTCATTAAAATCTCTCTAATTTGCATCTTCCTCAGTGGTGAGTGTGCAGACAGACTCCGGACTCTGAACCGGTCAGGAACGATCACACACACACACACACACACACACACACACACACACACACACACACACACACAACATAGTCTGCTGTAAAGAAGTGTTCACAGTGTTGATCTGTTTGTTTGTTCGCTTTATTAAAAGGAAACCTCTCATTTATAAATGCCTTTAAACTGCACACTGCGCGCAGAGCTCGAGCTCCACTGCATCATCAGTGTGGAGGAGCGGACTGTCTACATCAGCTCTGATCCTCTACATCCGGAGACCCCCGAGCAACACTGACAGACAGAAACACTGACAGAAATACTAACAGTTAAAAAATATATACATGGATTAAAGCAAAAATACAGACGGGGATACTGACAGAAATACTGACAGATACAGACAGATAGAAACAGAAATATAGACGGAAATATTTACGGAAGTACAGACAGATAAAAACAAATACAGACAGAAATACAGACAAAAGTACTGACAGATGAAAACAGAAATACTGACTGATACAAACAGAAATACAAACAGAAAAAAACAGAAACACAGTCAGAAATACAGACAGATAGAAACAGAAATATAAACATTTATAAACAAACACACAGATAGAAACAGAAATACAGACAAAACCAGAAATACAGACAAGATAAGAACAGAAATACAGACAGACACAGACAGAGGCACAGACAGAGAGGTGGTCTGTGTTTCTGATCTGAGGGCTGAACTGTATCGATAATGTAAAATGAGTGAGTGAAGCTGGTTTAGTGTTCATTACATTTGCAGGTTGTTTATTCAGCGAAACTGAGACTGTATTAATGTCAATGAACTGAAAATGAAAACGAATATTTCTCATTTTGGACTTTTATAGTGAAAAACAGAATCAGGAACTGAAATCAGTTCCGACTCAGCAGCGCGCGATTATTACCGCTCACAGTCAGAGCGCGTGTCTGACTGAACTTCATCTGTTTATCATTGATCATTTTTCATATTTCTGAGTGCTGCAGAATTTAAAGCCTTTCATTTCAGAATTTCAGTCACATGATCAGAGCTCAGTCTGATAACAACAACAACAACAACAACAATAATAACAACAATCATCATAATAATAACAATAATAATATCAATAACAACAACAACAACAATAATAATAACAATAATAATAACAATAATAACAACAACAACAACAATAATAATAATAATAATATCAATAATAATAATATCAATAATAATAATAATAATAATAACAGTGTGATCAGACTCGAGCCATGTGATTCTGTTCTTCCTGAGGTTCCAGCTGATCTGCAGGCTGTGAAAGATTAAAGGAAGCGTTTATGTAAAATGATCTAATAAATATTTTAAAATATTAAGAATGGATAAATAAGCATTTTAACAACAAATGAGAAATGGAATATAAAAGATAAACAGATAAACGAATAAAATACATTCATTCTGATTTTACAAATAAATGAAAAACAAATAAAAAGGAACAAATAATTATTTTAAATAAATCTGATAAATAAAATTTGAAGTAAACAAATAAATAAACAGCGGAAAACTGTGTGTTTTATTTGTATGGTGTGTGT